GGGCTATGTTGAAGACAAGGCGGTCGAGTGTGAGGTCGACCAAGTCAAGTGCGAGGTACCGTTTTTCGCCGACGAGTTCACGGACGAGGAGAACCAAGAGAGAAAGTCGTACAAACAGGAGACCGACGCCGAGTACACCATGGTGAGATCAGGTGATTGGAGCAAAGCGTGTGCGCAAGAACGGCACGCGCAACACATCGAGGCCGAGGCCAAAGAGAGTCGCCACGCGACGCACAAGAAGGACAACACGGATAAAGTGATATTCAAAGTCGAGGTCTTGGTCAAGGTCGATGAGGACCGTGAGTGGGATGTGCACGTGATCGAAGAAGAAGTGCCCGATGTTTGGATGGTCGAGGATGAATCCTTGAGGACAAGAAAAGTCTCGAAGGGGAGGGGAATGATATGGAAGTGGGTTTCAGACCCCTGCGACAAGAAGGGCCAAGGGATGAGACGACCCGAGGAGGCCAAAATAGGGCCAAAACGACACATGCATGGCCTAAGAGACGGGTACGAGCTCGTATGCGAGGCGCGCGAGCACATAAGGAACGACAAGGGTCAACTACAAGAGGGTCGAGCATGAGAGCGTCGAAGCTCGTAGGTCAAGGGATAGCACGCGATCAAGCACGAGGAGGGGTCCGCGGGTTGGACGCGCAATTACACGGGCCGACCAATGAAGGTTGCGCAAAGGAAAGGCGCGTATGGCGCTTGGAGGCTAGGTGCAGTGGCGCGCAGTGGGAGGTTGTTGGGTGGATGGCGCGCGAGGGGAGTTGCTACGGATGGACGGGCGCGCATCGAGCGATGGGCGATGCGCGGGCATTGGGCGCGCTGGATGATGAGCGCGGGGCGCACGGCGACATGCGCGAGGCACAAGTCAAGACCGGGGTGGCAAGCCTAATCCTCGTAGGAATAGGCAAGGCGCGAATACTAATCCTCGCAGGAATAAGAAAAGCAGTTGAGTGCCGGAACGCGCGTGGGAGATCGGTGACAGGAGTAATCCTCGGAAGATCAGAAAACGTAACCGGGAGCATATTCCTAGTAGGAATAGGAATAGTGGATATGGGCTTGAGGCATGGTCCTACAAAAAATAGGAATGGCGCATGTGGGGCGCGAGGCCTTAAGCCTCGAGGCGAGAGGACATACATGGGCGAAGGCGGTGCAGCCCTAGTCCTCGAGGACTAGGGCAAGGCATGAGGGCGGCGCACGTGTTGAGGCGGCGAAAGAGTTGAGGTGTGTGAAAGACTTGGAGCTTCTAGATTTGCTTGGTGTGCAAGTCAAGCATTAGTATTTTAGTAGTAGTAGGATTTTATTGCTTTCTAGTATTAGGATTTCTATTATTGCAAGATTTAGGAGATCTAGTTTATTTAGGCCTAGATTTATTTTATGCACCTATAAATACCCCATGTACCTCATCATTATTATAAACAGTTGAATGTTGAGTCTTGGAATTGATGAGTGAATCTCATAGGGGGAACTTGTTGTTCTTACGTGTGTTTAAACAAGGCCGTTAGTGCGTGTTTACATACAATGTAGAGAAGGCCATTAGAGCGTCTTGAAGTCACAGTGTCTAGGAGAAGGCCGATAGTGCGTCTGTTAGATACACTATCGTGGATAATCAAAATCCCTGAAGCCAATGAGCGGATTGAGAGAGGAAGCGTAACGAAAGAAAGAGTTGGTACGTTCAGAATTGTTGGCTCAAAGAACGCCTAATCGAAGGCCCTGAGTGTGCGATTATTCACAACCCGGAAATAGATAAAAAAACGGTCCGTCATCACGCTGCCGGGACGCGC